GTAGGGAAATGTGTGTGCACAGAGGTGGGGGCAGGGAGGGAGGAGGGAGAGGTACCAAGTCCATGTCCACAATGATCAACAAAGCATTCTGGTGTTCAGTGACCCTCATCTCAGGCCTCTGGAACAATAAAATGTACAAGTCCCTTGGCAAGGATAGCAATGTTCAGCATTAATAGCAAAAATCAAGCATAGTGGTGATCTGTGGTTCTGTGTTAAATCTAACAAAACTCATGAATACCCTGGGACTATGGAAGCAAGCTGGAAGAAAAGGGTCTTCTATCACCTCAGTAACCTCCGCCATCAAGGTCAGACTCCCCCAGGTCATAAAAGTCCTTAAAAAGCAGTTAGATTGTGGTTTGTTGTGCAGTGTCTTTTCTGTGTGCATCTGTCAGCCTAAGAGAGGCAAGGACTGGTTTACTCTCCTGGGTTTATCCTTGGGGCTGCAGGAGCTATCATCCCTTACATTTGGCTTCCATCCTCCATATCAATCTAATTCCTCCAGCAGGTCTATGCCACATTGATCCTGTCTCCCTCCAAGCCCCTACATCTGCCCAGTGCCATGCCAGCCCCCCATGAGCTCTACTTTTGGCTCTGACCCAGCTTCCATTCTGCCATCAGTTCTGCCATGTCTCTGGCTTCATCTGTGTTTCCCCCCTCATGTCACCCAGACTGGCAACTGGAGGGGGGGGTTGCAGCAGGGTTCCCCTTTCTCTCTACACCAAGTAGGAAGGAAGAAGGAGAGGAGCCATCCTCCTTGCCCACAGGGGGGGAGCAGAGTAGGAAGAAGTTGTGCTAAGTTTCCATTAGGCTCTTTGTGTTCCTTCTGCCCCTGGCTACCCAGGGGAGCGGAGGAGAGCTCTTCCTGCTGCATGAGCAGTGCCGAGGAGGTGGGCAGCAGGGCCAGCAACAATCAGAAGGGGCTTTCCGTCATGCAGGGCTAAAATTCTCAGTGGGCATATCTACACGAGACACTACTGCACAGTGTTTACTGCACATTTATTTAGTACTTGTATAATCAAGTACTAATACCAGAGTTACTGTGCAGTAGTGCTGGCGAGCACCTTTTAAGTTATGTTACTGGGCAGTAGCCTAATAATACTGCTCAGTAGCATATTGGCACTGTTGGTGCTGTGATGCATTACTGCAAAATATTATTAGGCTACTGTGTGGTCAGCATCTCGTGTAGATGTGCCCAGTGGGGTGGAACTCCTCAAGTCACTGGGAGACAGGCTGCAGCCTCCACCATAGTCCCATCACTCATGAGAAATGGGCTAGAGCTGGCAACTCTGTCATCCAAATGTGTCCTTTTACTGAGAAATGCTTGGGAAGTGGGTGGAGGGATCTTGAGCTTCAAAGGTCCCCTGTACCCTCCTAGAGCTTGTGTCTGAGATTGACCTTCAGAGGAATACTGCAAACTTTGGGACATGTGGCTAAGAGAGGGCTGATGAGGCCTAACATTGTCTTTGCTGTCTGGGTAGAATTCACCTCAAGCAGGGACCTAGTCACTTCTTGGGTGCGTCCATACATGCAAGCATGTGCATTTGCAGCAGCTCAAATAGAAGTGGTGCAAATTTGAGCTGGGGCTTTTTGCCTCAGTGCATGTGCCTGGACAGTCACTTTGGTGTGGGGCAAATTGTACCACTTGGGGCAAAATAACCCTGCCTGGCTCCTCCCAGATCTGCAGCCAGGGGGAGCTGGAGCCCAGGGCCAGCACCTGCGTTGTCCCCAGCAGTATAAAAAGCTGCCCTGTCCTGGCTCCAGCAGTATAAAAAGCCTCCCTGGCAAGTAACTCAGGGCTACTAGCTCTCAGGACCTTCTGGGGCCCAGCCAGTTGGTATCTGGGGACACTACCCCTTGTGCCAGCTGGACTGCTGAAGCAGCCCTGAGAGTTCCCTGCACCCTCTACCCAGGCAGGGGGGCTTGCTCCGGGCTGGGGCCCGCCTGCCCCCCTGCCAGACTCGGATAGGGACTGCACAGCCAGTAGAGGCCAGCTGGGCCAGCTGACAGTCGGCTGTGACTGCAGAGTTGGCCTTTGAGCTGTACTACTGCCATGTATGCCCCCTGCCCTGCAATCTGGGCAGCTATTGCCTGGAAGATGCTCCTGGTGTGGTGGCCTGCTTTGAACTGTCAAAGCATGTCCTCCTGGCCAGGAGGTCAGCTACCTCTAGCTGGGTCCAAGGTGCCAGCTCTGACCAGGCAGGGTCCTGCCACTAGCTTCCTTAACAGGAATGCTGGTATTCCCTATTGGAAAACTGAAAAATCCACAATAAAAAAATCCCAAAGTCACTCAGTAAAATACCCCTAAATCCATGTTCCTCCACAATTAAAACAAAAGACCACTATATATATACAGAGAGAGTGAGATACAGAGAGACAGTGATCAGTTGTGCAATGTTTTATTGATATATCTATAGTGTTAAAGCAATTTGGAAGCCTACCTGTGTCTCTAACATCATAATAAAGTGAATTCTAAATACCTATATGTTTTGCTGCCCCCCTACAGGGGCCACAGCCCCCCCAGGGGCCAAATGGCCCCCGCAGGGGCTACCATCCCCACTGCAGGGCCCACATGCCCCACCCTTGCTTGCTTCCTAAGCCCCCTGGACTGCAGCCTCGCCTGACCCCATCTTCCGCCAACTCCTGCAGCCCCCTCCCATGGCTGGCC